GCTAACAAAGGATTCAAGTCCAGGAACTCACTCTCTCCACCCCCCTGCTTTCTTCCACCCGGAGCTGCTACCGCCCAGACCAGTATTTTGCGCCATCTAGTGGCGGAATGGGAAAGGCACCAGGTCCACAAAGAACAAAATTAAAGCAGTGAGCTCCAAGTGCCCAAAGAATTTATGAACCTGGAGCAGCCAACAGACTTATCTGTGTCCCACTCTCCCTCTTCCAACCCTATGAGAGAGAGAGAAAAAACAGCAACAAAAGTCATTGGCCCTATACATTAAAAAGTATATTATTACCAGCATGTTTGGGAAAGTCAAAAACCTCCCGAGCTGCTGGTCATGCTCTGAGAGGCTAAAGTGATTCAGAGAAAGAAAACCACTATTTCCTTTAAACATCACCCTGCTTGGATGGCTCAGTGGACTCATGGAGATTCCATTTCAAACATCCCTGGTCCGAGGGATGAAACGAGCACAGGTATCGGCCTGGTTGCTATATGCATTCATCGTTAGTTCCGAGAACATTTCAGTGTAGTTGTTGATTTAAGAAACACACAAGCAACTTCTGACTTTCCAAAAAGTTCGAGAAGCTTCCATTTTCTAATAGCAAAGCTCAGGAGAGGGCAGCAGGGACAGATGTCCTGGGAACTTGGGCAGTGCTGTGTCCACTGTGAAGGGTCAGAGGAGGTATGAGGCCCCAGCAGTCCTGAGACTTGCTTAGTGGCAAAAATTAGACACTGGTGTTTGCCCCTTTTCTTTATTCCTCCGAGATTCCTTTGGAATAAGGATTTTACCAGAGTTCCCCACTGTCAGACTCTGGGGTTCCACATTGTCATGCTGGACAGGGCAGCCCCAGGACACAGGGGCTCTGCAAGGGGCCTCTGGATGTCACCAAGGCCAGCCAACTGCAGGCTGTTTGCTTAGAGCTTAAATGAAGGTCGCACAGGAGTCAGAGCCTGCACGTTCATGCCAAGTAGGTTGCCCCCAGGGGAATGGAACACATGGGCCCAGCGAGGTGCAAGCTGGCCTCGGCTTGAATGCCAATGAGTGTCCAGCGCAGTTCTGGCTCTCCTCACAGGCCTGTCAGTGCACAATCAGTCTGGGGAATGTTCTGGTCTCATCGGCTCCGTTTCCTCCTTCCCTCTATCCCCCATCCAGAAGCACAATGGTTATCTCAAGCTTATGGGTAAGCAAGTCAGGACAACCTCAGGGGTGGGGGGAAGACATAGTCCTTCATCTGCTCACAGTTCCAACAGCACAGAGCATGAGAGGGAACTGAGAGGTCACGTCTAAACCCCTCTTTCGTAGCTGAGAGACTCTCGAAGAGCGCCCAGCACTGCCTTCACCCCCTTTGCCCAGGGCTCTGACCCACTGAGCCCACAGATGGGGCAGGGGCACGTGTGCTGGTGAGATGAACAGCCATCTGGCCAAGGTCAAGCACGCCTTCTGCCTCCATGTGTCCAGACAGTGATTCCTCAAATTGATGATGAGTTAGGAGTGGGTGTGGCAAAGAGAACAAAGTTCCCAGTCATGTAACTACCAACATATGCACTTGGGTGACTTACTGGGGACAAGCATTTCCTCCCTGTTCTTAGAAGAGTCTCTGAAATCTATTCTATTTTTTGAAATCCCCCCTTGCAGAGAGTAGGCCTAGCATTCACAACCAGACCGACTGGATCATACTGACTGACTGACACAGCTTATCCATCTGAAGAATGACAATAATATTAACACTTTGGGGGAAAAAGTCCTGTGAGCTTCACCCAGTTTTCCATTCTCTCAGATGGGGTGGCGAGTGTTCAGTGAAGTCAGATGGACAAATCACATTGTGCTTGGAATAAAGGATTTGTATCTGGCAGATACAAATTCAAGGTTTATGGGTCATGTTCAAGGTTTATGGGTCAAGACTGCAGCGATAGCCAAACAGATGACACTGGCTTGAAAGGACACTGCTTGCCTGACTTCCAAGTCTGGGTAACAAGTAGCTGGGCACCAAGAAGTGTGTCAGGGACTTACTTGTAATGAAAACACTCAAAGTAACTCAGGGAAACAGGCCTGTCAGTGGTGAGCAGCTGAGGCTCCCTTGGGCACTGCATCTCATTTTTTTTTTTTTATAAAGATTTATTTATTTGTGCATACAGAACTGG